TAATTTCAGGTCTGCATGCTGGAAACACTAAAATTAAGGGCCAACCTAATTGAGTCGTCTTGCTTGATCTTTGCCAATTGTTTCATTCCATGCATGATTATTGTTTCCTTCCATGCATGTGGCCTCAGGTGATCGATTTGTTTACTTGAAAGCAGCATCGGGATCGCAGGATGATGATGCTTTTTCTATCGCGGGATATCGCATGGCCGGAAGGAGTCGTCTTGCTTGATCTTTGCCAATTGTTTCCTTCCATGCATGATTATTGTTTCCTTCCATGCATGTGGCCTCTGGTGATCGATTTGTTTTCTTCAAAGCAAAGGGATCGCAGGGATGGCAGTTTTTTTTTCTATCGCACGGGTATTGCATGGCCGGAAGGAGGAGTGACTAAAAAAAGTCGCACAAAAAATAGTCTTACTTTTAGTCTTTTTAGTGCTAGTAAATAAGAGATACTTGGGTCAACACCAACAATTAACCAGTTAGAATTGTTAAGCATCATGGTCCAGTCAGATGGCGTTTCCGCAATTGCCATTTGACGAACAACACAGTCACTAGGTAACGAGCAATTCCTTGTGTCTAATGGAAATCTACGTCGGTAGACGGACAGGGGTGGACCAAGAGTACACCAAAGCCTAGAGCTAGTAGAACATTCTTAGGTTTCATTTTCCGAAGCCGTGGTTTTGTATAATTTTGAAATTAAATTTTTGTAGGGTTTCATTTTCCACAGTTTCTAGTGAATTAATAGAAAACACCTTGCTACTATTATGTATTATCAATCCCAGATCTGCAATCTGAAAATCCACCAAGCAATGTCAATATGTTACATGTGCTCAGATCTCACACGCACAAACTTTCTATTTTCTAAAATCTGAACTGAAACGGAATAGGAATACAAAATTTTTTACAGCAGCTAGCAGAGGAAGAGATAGACTGAGTCGGAGACCATGCCTCGTTTGCGCGCTTCACAGTGTTCTCATCTATCACAGCCACCATGGCCGTTTTCTATGATTGGAATCGCCGGCCTGGTTCAAATGGACAGTTCCGTGATTTGAAACTGGTACGATGCAATTGGGTTTTCAATCTTCACACATATTTGGTTGAATGGACGTTACACAAAGCAAAACGTCCTTTTGACTCCTCAACTTTTGTGGTCGTCCGATTTACTTTCCTCATTTACAAAACCCTTTGTTTGACGGTTAGCAACTAAGTTCTGGGAATGTAGGGAACGTGCTACGGGAACATGGTACAATATTTTCAGACTGTGGAACGGAGAGGGTATACAACTTCAACTTGTTCCTTCAGCTGCAGGAATGTTAACCAAATCTGAATAGAGCGCGTAAGAAACATGGTGGTTGGTCCATGCAGGATAGAATTGTTTTGGAACATGCTGAGTTCCACTCCCTGCACGTCATATTTTTTCTAGTCATTTGTTTTTTTGTTTTATTGGGCCATTGGATTTTCCATCCATCGGTTACTTTGACCCCCTTTTAACTTCTAAAATTTTTGCAACCTGGCCGGTTTAATTGGCAATTTTGCTGATGTGGTGCCACGTCACAGGGAGGTAAATCGGATTAGTGAAAGTTCATGGAGGGAAATCGTACTAGAAATATTAAAAAAATATACAAAAATTTAAAAAAAATATAATTTCAAAGATGTATCAAAATATTTTTATATGAAAAAATAGTGCAATTAAAAATTTAAAAAAAAATATCTTACACAAACAATGCTGAGATTGGATTCGCTGGCCTGCTTCAAATGGAGACAGTTTCGTGGGTTGAAACTAGGACGATGCAATTGGGCTTTCAATCGAAGCCTTCCACACATATTGGGCCGGATGTACGTTATACAAACAAATTAGACAGGGATTACTATTAGTTAAAAGGAAATGCTGCCTAGGTTCATATGTTGTTTTAACATTGTTATTATTACATGGAAGAACCATAAAAATATTATCATCATTATTTTATTCTTTATAGATGAATAAGCATCTAGGATTTTACACACACACAGACACACTCCATGTTGTACACATATATAGCGTGTGACTTCTTCCCCGACACTTCCTGCGGCGACCCGTGCTTGACGGGGCACAAGCTTCTGCATCCTCTCCGACGCCAACCTCCACATCAACGCGCACTTCATCGGCAACCACAACCCGGAGCTGAGGCGCGACCAGTGCCGGCCCTAAGGGGCAGGCAGAGGTGCAACAGCCGAGGGCCTCAAGGGATGAGGGCCAAGCCCAGGTATATAATAACTCATACCCTTTAGTTATAGTCCATTAGGATTTTGGATTAATGAGAAGATGCAGCGTCCCATCAGCAAAAAGTCGTTGGCCTCTTTCTTTTCAGGAGGCAAGGAGCCGAGCTATCAACATCCGCACATGTGTGCACGTAGCTATCGCGAGTCACGATTCCGAACTTCTGGCGAGATGCGAGACTGCAAGAGAGGTAGCGCCGATCGCCGGTTCACCACGCGATCACCAGCACAGATCACCGAGACACCGACGCCTGAGTTCCGGTCTTCCAAAATCCAGACGATGGCGTTCCAGTAGGACTCGACGAGGATGACGACATCTGATCTTGGTTATTACCTTCTGTATTTTTTGTGATTTGTGCGGTGGGACGAGGACGAGGACCACGTCGTAGTCGCCCCTCGACGGCGAACCCGTCGACGTCGCTGCGGTCAGGGACGCACGGTGGCTGTCCAGGACCCTACCGGGGCTGTCGGTCACGGGCACTGACGCCGTCAACACCGTCCTCGTCCAGCTCGACGGCGACAGCAACACCTTCTACTTCCACGGCCACAAGCTTCTGCATCCTCTCCGACGCCAACCTCCACATCAACGCGCACTTCTTCGGCAACCACAACCCGGAGCTGAGGCGCGACTTCACGTGGGTGCAGGCGCTGGGCATCACCATTCCCGGCAGCCACAGCCTCGTGCACCTCGACCTCGGCTTCCGGTTCCATAACCTCACTGCGGACGTCGACGGCGTGCTCGGGCAGACGTATAGCCCTAGCTACGTGAGCAGGCTGGACATCGGCGCCAAGATGCCCGTCATGGGCGGCACGCACAAGTACCTCTCGTCGGGCCTCTTCTCCACCGACTGCGCCGTCTCCAAGTTCCAGCACGGCGGCGACGATGTCACCGCATTTGTTTCTAAATAAATATCATCCTACGCATGCAGAGGGGCCAGGAAATAATTATGTCAACGATTAGTGTGGACGAATACCACGTATACATACCTCCGTATGTACTAAGCTACTTGGGTCGGAGTACCCCTGGACACAGTAGCAGTGCACAAATCTTATCTTACTATTACTGATCAGTCGCCCAATGAAGCCTCTGCGTTAATCCCTACTGGATGTGCTAGAAAAATAGATAAATTCTAGAAATTCTCACATGAATCCACCCAATCAAAGACTCTAGCCATCTATCATCATTGGATCTATTTTGTTCTCTAGGAAATTACCCACCTCTGCCATTATAGATAAAATTTGTTTTTTAGGAGAAAAAACTATGACGTGCTAGAGAAAATCTTGACGTTTTTTAGGAGAAAAAACATTGACGTGTTGGAGAAAATCTTGATGTAGTACTAGCGTTGATAGTTAGTTATTATTATAAAAACATCGGACGAGTCCTTTTATTCACGTCACTTGGTAATGCATTATTAAAATATCATATCAGCAATATTGACGTTCATTGCTAGTTAATAAAATATATACTAATAAAACAAAATATATGTATTAAAAATATAACACTATTGGCATTCACAGTTAGTTAATAAATGTAGCAGAAGACTTGGATCTTATTAATCACGGCACTTTGATGCATTGGAGAAAATCTTGATCGGAGTACTAACGTTCACAGTTATTTCCTTTCCAAAAAAAAAAGTTCACAGTTAGTATGAAGTATGGGACGAGTCCTATTATTCACGTCACTTGATAATGCATTATTAAAATATCATATCTGCAATACTGACGTTCATAGTTAGACAATAAAAGTATATATATTAGTAAAACAAAATATGTGTATTAAAAATATCACATTATCGGCATTCACAATTAATTAATAAAATTTTAGATGAGTTGGATCCTATTAATCACGTCACTTGGCAATAAATTAGTTAATAGAATATCTATATATTAATAAGACAAGATATATGTATTAATAAAATATCAGATGAGTCCTACTAATCCCATTCACTTGGTATAATTTATTAATAAATAAATTATAGTATACTCCTCTATCCCAAAATAAACACATGTTCCATCTCTCTAGAAGTCAAGTTTTTTTAAGTTTGACTAAACATATACAAAATAATAGTTGCATCTGTATCTATAAATAATTTTGTTGTAGAAGTAAATTTATGCTGAATCTAATAACACTTATCATCATGGTCACTAATATATTTTTATATATATTTGGCCAGACTTTAAAAGATTTCGCTTCTTATAAAATGAGATGTGTGTTTACTATGAGGCTAAGTGAGTATGTAATACCCAACAGGTCCATGGTGGTTAATCTATTAATTGAAAATATGATGGAAGGTTAATATGTTAATAAAATATGAGAGACAAACAATCAAGATTTTAATCTATTAACTGAAAATCTGATGGAAGGTTATGAAACTTTGTAGTTGATAACTTTTTATTTGAAATCATCTTGTAAACGAAAACTACGTTTGAATTTCTAAAATTTAAAATTCAAATTTTGTAAATGATCTCGGATGGAGAAACTACCAAAATAAAAGTTGTAGATCCCAAAAGTTACGTAAACATTGTAGTTAACAACTTTTTTATTTGAAATCATCTTGTCAATGAAAAACTATGTCTGAATTTCCAAAAATTTGAAATTTATGCAGTGAAATTTGCTTGACCGTTTTCAACATTCATTTCAGGAGAACATTGGTTCTGCATTGCCACCTCCGTCATGTGTAAATGATGCTTCTGTGTTACTTGAGTTTGTCATGAGTTCTGTTACTTGCACGGAAGAAACTGCAAGTATGAAGGTCTTTGAGCTGGTAGCTATATGGGCTGACATTATTGCTAACTGGGACTCCTCGGAGGAGATTGAGGATCAGGGGGTTTTCAACGCAATTAAAGAAGCTGTCAATTTCCACCAAAGATTTGACCTTGATGGTTTCTTCCGGAAAATGCTTCCATCGCAGTCTGAAAATGGTTCACAGAGTTCAGTCATTGGTTGGGTTTCTACTTTTGTGACTAAGGCAATTGCAGCTTACCCATCTGCAACATGGAGGGCATGCTCATGCATCCATACACTACTGCACGCTCCAAATTTCTCCCTTGGAACACAAGATGCTAGAAAAACTATTGCTGAATCCTTTGCACAAGCAGCATTTTCCCGCTTCAAGTCTATATCTGACAGTCCTGCTGGGCTATGGAAACCACTATTGTTAGCAATATCTTCATGCTACATTTGCTATCCAGATGCCATTGAACAAGTCTTGAACAAATTTGATGGTAATGGTTTTGCAATCTGGACATCTGCATTGGCACAAGTCTCAAGCAGCTCATTCAATCCTGGCCTGTCATCTGAATCCGAGATCAAGTTAGCTGGTAAGTGGCTATGTACAGATCACTGCAACGCTGTTGATACTTTCTCTCTCTGACATCCTATGAACATGGGTCATCTTTTAATTGTTTGTTTCTTGATGCAGTGCTAACATTATCAACTGTGATTAACCATCTTATGTCCCTTTCCATGGGTGGCACCAAATGCTACAAGACTGCTATGTATCACTGATGGAATCTTGCATTCAGCTGAAGGAAGTTCTGTTAACCTACGGGATCATCGTCTACGACGACAAAGTGAACCAGATAGCCTCCGCACCACTAGCCTCGCAAGAGTTCTGTCTCACCTCGATGCCGAGGTAGTAGGAGAGAGTGCCGAGATCGCTTCATTCGGAAACGAGCTGCCATCTCGCTTGAATCTGTTGATATCCTCCCGCGCGCGCTACGGTGACGATTAAGTCATCCACATACACACCGACCACGAGCTCTTCCTTCCCCGTCATCGCGTGTAGAGCGTGGTGCTCGGTTGTGCACTCTCTGAAACCCAAGCTTGCCCAGCGTGGTGTCAAGCTTGGTGTTCCATGCTCGAGGGGCTTGCCGCAGCCCGTAGAGCACTTTGCGTAGTCGAGCACCCTATGCTCCTCTCCCTTGACAGTGAACCCTAGAGGTTGCCTAACGAAGACCGTTTCCGCCAGCTCGCCGTTGAGGAAGGCCGATTTAACGTCAAGTGATGGACGCGCGCCACCTTTTTGTCGCCGCCAAAGCAAGTAGCAAACGGATCGACTCCATGCGCGCGCCATCTTGGCGCAAAGACCTCCTCGAAGTCGATGTTCGCTGGCCGACAAAGCCTCGGCGCGACGAGGCGCGCCTTTGTACTTGACAATGGCACCGAGCTCATCCTTTTGACTTTGTACACCCACTTCAGCTGATCGGACGGCAGATCCGGAGGTGGATCGACGAGCTGCCAAGTCTCGTTTTCTCGATCGCTTCATTTCCTCCAAAGACGCTCGCCCGTCACCAGATTTCCATCACGCCGGCTAGCGCGAACGTGGGTGGTTCCTCTACACCGACGAGTAGCAGCTCTGCGTCGTTGAACAGCCTACCCGCCAGACACCGAGGGACTGTGCCACCGACGATGTCGCCCAAATTGCTGTGGAACCTCAACTCCTCACCTTCGTGGTAGGCGCCCACGAACTCGGTGATGTCACTTGGAGGTGAGGCGAACTCGATCGGGGTGATGGAGTTCCTTCTTCCACGGATCGCTTCGGATCGCTCGTTATAACTCCCCGCAGTGTTCGCCACACCGTAGGAGTACCTAGCCTCAGCCTTGGAGTGGTTGGGACCACAAGAAGACGCCTTGGCTCCGCCACAGGAGTGCTTGGCACCCGTCCCAAGTGGTCGCCACCACAGCAGTAACCTCCCGGCTCCACTCCTAGTGTGCTCGGCAGACCGCCTAGAAGTGCTCGACTCTACCACTGGAGTGCTCAAAGTGCTCCTCCCGAGTGTGTGGCACTGTTCGCAGCGCTCTCCACCACCGTGGATGACCAAGTGCTCGACGACGAGGTGTTGGGGAAGCCTCCGCTTCCCGTGATCGGACTGTTCCACCCCAAGCCGCCTCGTTGAACACAACATCACGCGAGACAGCCACCTTGTCTCCGCGTGGGTCATAGAGCCAGTACGCTTGGTACCCTCTCACAGAGCCCAGAACACCATGGGTGTGCTCCTCGCCCTCCGGCTTGGTGAGGTTCGCTTCGCCTTTCTCCGACGTGGCCGATGCAAACCGAATGTCCAGAGGAATGACACGTTCGGGCTTGCTCCCGCATTCAAGCTTGAACGACGCCTTGCCCGTTAGGGCCTTGGTTGAGCGCGGTTGAGGATGAACAACGCCGTGGTCACCGCCTCTCCCGTAACTTTGCCGGCATCCCTTTGGCCTTCATCATGGATCGAGCCATGCCAACCACTGTCTGGTTCCGTCGCTCCACCACGCCATTCTGTTGTGGCGAATACGGCGCGGTGTGATGTTGTCCCACACCCTGATCCGCGTAGTACGTAGCAAACTCCACCGAAGTGAATTCACCACCCTGATCAGTCCTCAGTACGCGGAGCTTCTTGCCGCTCTCGGCCTCCGCGTGCGTCTTGAACTTCTTGATCGCCACCGCCGCTTCATCCTTGCTCGTCAGGAGTTGTAGCCACATGTAGCAACTATAATCGTCCACGAGTAGGAGGAAGTACCACCGACCACTGCATGTAGCAGGCGTGATCGGCCCGTAGAGGTCGCCGAGAACTAGCTCGAGAGCTTCCTTCGCGCGATACTTGGCCACCTTTGGGAACGGTAGCCTCCTCTGCTTCCCAGCCAGGCAACTGTCACACAGCTCGCCTCCGTGTTTGATGTGGGGTAGCCCTCGGACCATCTTCCCCAGCCGACCAAGCGCATCGAAGCTGAGATGTTCAAACCGGGCATGACACATCCACGGTTCCTCGGAGTGCCTTGCCGCTAGAGCAAACCCGGCCGCTCTACCTTCGTGTCGGCGGTACAACCGGTTCAGGGGACCTCTTCACCTTGGCGAGAAGTCGCGGCTCCCGTGTTTGATCCTCAGAACATCGGCCTTGATCAGAACCTTGCTACTGCGCTCATCCAGCTGGACCAATGCGGATGATGCGGAACGCAGCTGTGGGATGTAGTATACATCCGTTAGCGCGGCGGTGCTCCCCTTCTGGCATCTGAAGATGATGGTGCCGCACCCTTGGATAGCCACCCTTGAGCCATCACCAAACTTCACCGTACCGGTAACATCGTCGTCGAGCTTGGAGAAGGAGTCCTTGGAGCCCATCATATGGTTACTGGCACCAGAGTCCAGATACCATGGCTGCTCCTGGTTGGCGCCCACACGCCCGAGATGGACTTGGGTGCGTGGTTCGTCGAGGTTGACGGTCTTTAGGGCCTTGCTGGATCCTTCCACCGTTGTCGCCTCTTCCCTCTCCATGGCCTCGACGTCGTGCAGTACACAAAACATCGCCATAAGGATAGTGGCCTCATCCTCATCATCGGCTTTCGCCAAGTGAGCCTGAGCCTTCTTTTTCTTCTTGCGATTTGGGCACTCCCGTGCCTAATGGCCCATCTTCCTGCAACATCGATAGGCGTTGGAGTCGATTTGCTTCTTCTCCAAAGAAGCCATGCCGTGATGTTTGCCGTTGCCACCGCTGACCAGAGGAGGTCGCCTTCCCGAGTTTTTCGCCGAGCAGCCCACCTCTTCCGTGCCAGGAGTTTTCCGCTGTCCTTCGTTGCTATCGCCTGCTCCAGGCGCTCGTCCACCGCCCACAGACGGCCTGCCACATCCTCGATGGTGAGGGTGGATAAGTCCAAAGATCGCCTCTATGGAGAGATCGATCTGGATGTACTTTTGTTCAAGACGGAGTGGAGGAATTTGGAGACCGCCTCCTCTTCGCCGATGGTGACGCTGTGGCTCTTTAGCTTGCCGATGAGCGTGCCCTGCAGCGGAGGGAAAAGTCCTCCATTATTTCACCATCCTTGAACTTGAGGTTTGCATACTCTCGCTTCGTAAGCCGGGCTGCTGTTTTCTTTTTGCGCGGTCGAACCGACGCCAGACGCCGCAATGGCCTCCCACGCCTCCTTAGTCGAGCTTTTTGTCCCCAACGTTTTCAGACTACCGACACAAAGAGCGAGGATAGCCTCCAATGTCGACATGTCGTCTTCTTCCACGTCGGTGCCCTTTGTCAACAACATTCCGAGCCGCGGGCTCGAAGCTTGACCTTCATGGTCACCGACCACTCTCCATAGTTAGTGCGAGTCGCCGCACGGCCAAGTGGTGTCGCTGACCCCCCCACACTGCGGCGGACAACTACCTCCCAGAGTGGTCGGGCAGCTATGACAGTGCCACTGCCGTCGCCTAACTCCAAACCACCTGTCATCGCCATCGGTTAGAATGACGACGGCGCTTGTACGAGGCTCTGATACCGCTTGTTAACCTACGGGATCACCGTCTGACGACGACAAGTGAACCAGATATCCTCCGCACCACTAGCCTCGCAGCCCATGGCCTTCCTGCACCACTAGTCTCCGCACCTCGGCCTCCTGCACCACTAGTTTCCAGCCTCCGCACCACTAGTCTCCGCACCTCCGCCTCCTGCACCACTAGTCTCCAGCCTCTAGACCACTAACCGTGTCGACCACCGTACCGGCTTTGTCCGTACCCCACACACTATGGATCGAGCTAGAAGAAGAAGGAGAATAGAGCAAGCACGCACAATACAAGACAACAACGCTGGCCGAGGCACCATCGATCAAGATGCTTTGCCGAGGGCCTCTAGCCCTCAAGAAGGACTGTAAACCCTCGGCAAAGGCTTTGTTGAGGGCTGCCCTCGGCAAAGACCCCTCGGGAATTTTTTAGACGGCGAAGGGGTCTTTGCCGAGGGCCCTTTATTGGGCACTTCGGCAAAGCCTTTGCCGAGGGCCAGGACGCCCTCGGCAAAGTAAAGAACCCACACGCACCAGCGCCACAGCAGGTTTTTTTTGCCGAGGCCACCTCAAGCAAAGAAGTGGTTTTTTTGATTTTTTTTTGCCGAGGGCCGCCCTCGCAAAGAATTTTTTCAGGATTTTTCCTAAAAAAACTTTGCCGAGGGCTATTGCAAGGGCCCTCGGCAAAGGTTTTTTTTAAAAAAAATTGTTTATCGAGGGCCGACCCTCGGCAAAGAAATAGTTTTTTTTGAATTTTTTTAAAACCTTTGCCGAGGGCCCGCTCCCGCCCCAAGCAAAGAAATTTTCAGATTTTAAAAAAAATCTTTGCCGAGGGCTATTGCTAGGGCCCTCGGCAAGGATCTCTCTTGCCGAGGGCCTTGGTCATTGCCCTCAAAGAAAAGAGAGTAAATTTAATTTTTTTTTATTTTTGCATTCCATCGACACAAGCATTTCATATATATACACATATATATCACACAGAACCCATCTTCTCATAATATATCACAACCATAATTGTGAACCACAAATCACAATATATTACAATGACAAGTCACATGTTCATCATCATTCACATGTTTATTACGACAAGTTAATGAAATCCAAGCACAAGTCACAACCATAAATCACAAATCACGCTAAAGTCCAACCACATCACCTAGCACGAGTCCTCATTAAGCTAACCTATGAGACGAGGGTGAAGGAAAAGCAGGATCACCTGGTGACGCACTAGCGGGTTGATTGGAACCCGCGGACGG